GAACTCCCTTAATTAATGGAAAAGCAGAAGAAACCAGTTATGAGAACTAACATTGAAAGATTTTGCATGGAATTTTTTTAAAAAACATCTCTGAGGAAAAACTCAGAATATCTGAGTATCAGGGTAAATATCAGTATTTCTCAAATGTTTTCAGTTCATTAAAATCAGTCTAGTTTTTTTGAATTTCCGTCTCCTGTCTCCAAACCCACTTATCTTTCACTAAGCCATGTTCCTTCACTCAGTCCTCAAAAAATTTCAAGGTATTTGAGATCTATACTTTCTTGATACCATTCCCTATTACAAACTCTATAGCAAGTTTTTTGTATGAATATATATTATTGACATATAAATTCACACTATTCTCTCAATAATATTACCTTCATCCCCAATCCCTGGAAAGTGAGGAAGTCCACCATATCAAGATACATCAAGCTCATAGTCCTATATACCTTATATGTAAATATATTAATAATTATTTGACTCAGGCTTGGCCAGCAAGGCTCAGTGGTTAAGTGTATATGAACCAGGAGGTCACAGTTTGATTCGTTGCGGGCTCGATCCCCAGTGTGGGGCATGCAGGAGGCAGCCGATCAATGATTCTCTCACATCATTGATGTTTCTAGCTCTCTCTCTCTCTCCCTCCCTTCCTCTCTGAAATCAATAAAAAAACATTTTTAAAAAATTATTTGACTCAGGAAATGGTTCTTGTTCTGTGTCCTCCATAGTCCTGAGAGAGTCTTGCACTGAGAACTAGTTTCTCTTGCTAATGCTTTCTGACAAATTCCATGCTCTGTCCTTAGAACTCACCAGTCCCCTAGCTAGGAAATAATACATTTTAACATCTTTTTTAATAGATCATTTCCCCTACTTAAATTGCTTACTTTTGCTGAATTCGTGGAACAGAGCACATGAGTTTGAAAAGATCACTAGATGTGGCCCCGACACCTTGTGATCGATCACTAAGTATACCCAGTTCTTAAACATCTGAAGGACATGGGATGGGGTTCTGTTACAGGATTGCTGTCCAGAAGAATACGGACTGTCATGAGCGGGCCATGCCTAGGAAAGATTTTGCCAGAAGCAGAAAGAACACCTACTGCCGGCTAGATACTAACACAGAAGATTTCCATGACTCCACACGACCTGGACCTGACCTCTGACCTTACCCCCTACCACTCTCAGCACAGCCAACAGGGGAGATAGGAAGGAACGGACCGGAGAAGGCTGAACGGGGGCAGGCAGTAAAAGGCATGGCGCTCAAGGTTTCCACTCGAACCTGAAGGAGATGGGGAACCGGCACGGGTCTATCTACAGCGCAGCGACACGGCCACGGCTAGGTTCTAGACTAGAGGGTGCACTCTGAATACAAGTGGGAACTGGAAGGGAAGCGGGGCGCCAAGGAAGCAAGAAGACTACTGACGAGAGGACGCCCAGGATGGATGGGGCTGCCTGACGTGTCTGAGATCAGAGGCAGGACTGTCTGGGAAAAGGAAGAACTTGCCAACGGATCCGGAGTAATGGCAATAAGGCCCATGAGCTCAGCGTGGAGCAGAGTAACCCTACAGGGACTGCCCAGTGGAGCGTGGGGTCAGGGAAGGAGGAGGAAGGTGGGGCCTGGAGGAGGAGGAAGAGAAAAGCAAGAGTCGAGGTCTCCCGGAGAAAGCCCGTCAAAGCTTCTCAGCGCCCGGCCAAACCTCCGAGACCTCCCTCCATTCCGCCGCCCGCGGCCTGCCCACTGACCGAACGAATTGAGAAAGTCCGCGATTTTCTTGATGCTGCTGGTGATGATTTCAATGTACTCTCGGTTCGCCCAGTCCTGGTGAATTTCCCGCTGCACAGGATCCTCCTGTCCCGCCATGGCCGCCGCCTAAGGAAGTACGACTGCGCAGGCGCCCCGATCCTCCAGCACGCCCGTGCGCCTGCGCCGCCAGCCCACACCCTCCCTCGGCACCCACGTATCAGCTGGCATCGCGATGCGCCTGCGCGACGTGAGGTCCTCGCCGGCGTTGGCTCTGCTCAACTCCGACCGGGAAAATGGAGTGGGCATGCGCCAGGAGCCCACCACCCACCGCAATACTGGGTCGCTGGCGGTTGGCGGGAGCGTGGGCCCGCGTCACCCTCCCACTCCGTCAGCTGCTCCAGACTTAGGTTATGGTCTGTGTCAGCAGTAAGTTGGGCATAATCGATTAAATCACATTAAGCCCAAGTTACTTTTAAAATGCTTTTCAACAACAGAATATGATGTTCCACCTTACATTTATCAAATGAACAAAATGTTTATATATATATGTATATATATATATCACAATAATACCCAGCGGGGCGAAATTTGTAAATTAATGACAAGATCGAGCGCAGGTGAGTTCAGGGTTGTATGCGGGAGGCAACCAGTCAATGTGTTTTTCTCACATCAATGTTTCCCTCCCTCCCTCCCTCCCTTCCTCTCTTCCGCTCTCTGAAAAACAATGGAAAACAATATCCTGCCCGCCCAGTGTGGCTCAGTGGTTGAGCATCAACCTTTGGACCAGGAGGTCTCGGTTTGATTCCCAGTCAGGGCACATGCCCGGATTGCGGGCTCAGTCCTCAGTGTGGGGCGTGCAGGAGGCGGCCAGTCAATGATCCTCTATTATCATTGATGTTTCTATTTCTCTGTCCTTCTCCCTTCTCTGAAATCAATAAAAAATATATTTAAAAACAACTGTGCAATAAAAACACCCATCTTATTTGCTTTTAAAACAAGTGGAAAATTAAAAACTTACTGAAAAAAAGTTTTGTAATTCAAAATCATTTTAGTCTCTTCCAAGAGTCGTCATTCTCTGCCCTTCTCTGCCCATCTCTGCATTTTGACGACCCCTCCAATCTCCACTTAGCTCTCCTTCCACACACACACACACACACACACACACACACATACCATCTGACAGTTCTTAACAAGCTTCTCAGACTATCTGGCCTTCCAAACCAGAATCTCAGCCTGACCCCTCCCCTGGTCCCCAGTCTCCCCACTTCAGCTTCACCCAAAGAGCAAGATGAAAGGTGACAGCTCTAATTTGTGTTATATCAGTGATGGCAAACCTATGACACGTGTGTCAGAGGTGACACACGAACTCATTTTTTTTGGTTGATTTTTCTTTGTTAAGTGGCATTTAAATATATAAAATAAATATCAAAAATATACATCTTTGTTTTACTATGGTTGCAAATATCAAAAAAATTTCTAGCCCTAACTGGTTTGGCTCAGTGGATAGAGCGTCGGCATGCCGACTCAAGGGTCCCAGGTTCAATTCCAGTCAAGGGCATGTACCTTGGTTGGGGACACATCCCCAGCAGGAAATGTGCAGGAGGCAGCTGATCGATGTTTCTCTCTCATCGATGTTTCTAACTCTCTATCACTCTCCCTTCCTCTCTGTAAAAAATCAATAAAATATATTCAAAAAAAATTCTATATGTGACAGGGCACCAGAGTTAAGTTAGGGTTTTTCAAAATGCTGACACGCTGAGCTCAAAAGGTTCACCATCACTGTGTTATATAGTTCCCAAAGTGCAAGGCCAACGTCTGGGTGTTTAAGGGAAGGGCAGGTGGGCCGTTAGTTAATTCCTCCCAAGTACCTCCTTGCATACTGCCAGACACTATGGTAGCCAGGCACCAGGGATATAGGAGTCAACTGGGTAGATCTGTCTTCCCTCAGCGGTCCGGGTAATTGAGTGATGCTGTCAAAGTTGTCGGATCACTCTTACTATAGTGAAAGGTTCCGTTTTTCAGCTTGTTGAGAATGGGACAGCATCGTCTTTCTGAGGTTTAATAGAAAGCAGAGAAAGGTTTTCAGTCAAGAAGTCAAGGGAAGAAGACATGCATCTTTTTTCTTGTTCTAGATAGGCGAGCATTTATACTAGTACATTCTGTCTCCTTGCACGGGGCTCATTCCAATGCAGCAACAAAAGCCTTCAGAAGTATGGGTAACTCTGCCTGAACACCTACTGAGCAGGTTTAATAAAGACTTTTAAACTAACGATCGGTCCCGGGATTTTGAAGCACGTTCCTGACCACACCCCTTGAAGTGGGTAGGCCCCTGCTCTGCAACTAGATCAAAGGCACATCGATGTAGCGCAGCAGGGAGGTGCTGGAGGGAGCGGGATTCGAACCTGTACTTCTGGACCTGGTATTCCAAGGAGGTGGTGGTGGGGAGTCCAGCCC